TCAGCAGTAGTCCCTAATATACGCCTTGATCTATTAAAGCATAGTCCTAATATACAGCCTTTATCATTCAGCAGGATTTATAATATACAGCCTTGGGGCTATTACGCAGTTTTTAATTACAGCCATTCTATTACAGCAGTAGTCATTAATATACAGCCTTGATCTATTACCGCAGGTAGTCATTAATATAAACAGCTTGATCTATTAACAGCAGTAGTCATAATATACAGCCTGATCTATTTACAGCAGTCGTCATAATATACAGCCTTGATCTATTACAGCAGTTAGGTCCATAATATTACAGCCTTGATCTATTACAGGCCCGTAGTCATAATTATACAGCCTTGATCTATTACAGACAGTAGTCATTAATGTACAGCCTTGATTCACCACACCAAACGCTGTTAACACTCAACAGCAAGTAGGTTATGACTGATACACTCAAAACGTAATCTTAAACAGTTAGAAGAGCTAGATAAAGATTTGAAGGAGGAAATACTTTAAAGTACTACCTAAGTCTTTTTTTTTTGAGTATCTGTATTTTTTTAATTTATTTTTTTAATGGGGTAGATCCGCTTATATTGATAGATAGATTGTAACTTCTATCAATGTAATTGTCTGCATCACTTCCAATCCCCCATGTTTTTATATATCTGTATTTTACTTTGCTATTTATATTTTTTGACTAAGTAACTACTTTTACTTCACTACATTCCTAAAGAAAATAATATACTTTTACTACATCAATCTTCCCCGACACCCAAAAGTACTTGTTACATTTTGAATGCTTAGAGGACCAGGAAAATGGTCCAATCACGCACTTATCAAGAGAACATCCCAGGTCATCCCTACTGCCTCTGATCGGCGGACTCACTAAACACACATGCTCGTTTGTAAATGATGCTGTTTGAAGTGGGTGCCCCTGGGCTATCTGTAATGAGTCTGAGTTTGGAGTGTGCCCCTGGCTATCCTGTAAATGATGTCTGAGTGTTGGGAGTGTGCCCCTGGCCTATCTGTAAATGATGTCTGAGTGTTGGAGTGTGCCCCTGGATATCTGTAAATGATGTCTGAGTGTTGGAGTGTGCCCCTGGCTATCTGTAAATGATGTCTGAGTGTTGGAGTGTGCCCCTGGCTATCTGTAAATGATGTCTGAGTGTTGGAGTGTGCCCCTGGATATCTGTAAATGATGTCTGAGTGTTGGAGTGTGCCCCTGGCTATCTGTAAATGATGTCTGAGTGTTGGAGTGTGCCCCTGGCTATCTGTAAATGATGTCTGAGTGTTGGAGTGTGCCCCTGGCTGTGCCCCTGGCTATCTGTAAATGATGTCTGAGTGTTGGAGTGTGCCCCTGGCTATCTGTAAATTATGTCTGAGTGTTGGAGTGTGCCCCTGGCTGTGCCCCTGGCTGTGCCCCTGGCTGTGACCCTGGCTGTGCCCCTGGCTATCCCACGTCTTCTTCTTTCTTTTTTAATGGTACCTTCTGGTTTGCTTAATATAAGGATTTTTAAATTATTTATACTTTTTGATACTTAAGTATATTTAATAACCAAATTCTTTTAGAATTTTACTCAAGTAGTATTCTACTGGTTGACTTTCACTTTTACTTGAGTCATTTTCTATTAAGGTATCTTAACTTTTACTCAAGTATGACAATTGGGTACTTTTTCTACCGCTGACAAAAAACACTCAGTGACACAATATGCAACAATGGCTGTTTATTATCCATCAGGGAAAGATCAAAATAATATAAAAATTTAAACACAGTCTCCTGAACGATCATATAACATTAATATCCATATGATAATATAATAATAATATGCCATTTAGCAGACGCTTTAATCCAAAGCGACTTACAGTCATGCGTGCATAAATGTTTTATGTATGGGTGGTCCCGGGGATCGAACCCACTACCCTGGCGTTACAAGCGCCATGCTCTACCAGCTGAGCTACAGAGGACCACAGTGATCATAGCATGTACACCTAGCCTGTATAGACCTGTGCTATATTTATCCATGGCAACGTTATTAACCTCACCTCAAGTCATTTACATATCTATACCTATGTTATTATAGTACAGGATACATATTAAAACCCATACAGAAGGTAGATCGGGATCAATGAGAAATGGCTTTCAAATGCTGTGAAGCAACATACATGACCCAACATCAACACGGTAATATGGAAGATTGCTGTCCGTCAAATGGACTGCAGTTCACCGTCTCCAAGGGTGCGTCCTGAAACGACACCCTATTCCATACAGTGCACCACTTAAGACGAGGTCAGCGTCTCAAATTGCATCATATTCCCTATGTAGTGCACCAGAAGTAGTTCACTACGGGGGGGAATAGGGTGCCATTTTGGACGTACACAGAGCATTGGACTTTGGTCTAAAGTTGTGCACTACATAGGGAATAGGGTGCCATTTCAGACAAGACTACAGAGCATTTGTAAATGGTCAGCTTGGACACAGCTGTATTTAACATCAATAAACCAAACATACTGTTGTGTGCCTCGTGTACACAACATGGCACAACGGTCTGGTCCGACTCACGAATTCACCAAAACCACACGTATCGACTTAAAAACACACAGAAACGTTGGTTTTGTTCTGTTGCACGTACTATAATACACAGTAAAGAACCAAGGCTTCTGTCAACCTAACAGAGCGTGTTACAACTACAGATGGACACGGTAAACGTAAAGGATTATAGCCTGGTTAAACCAGACTGAATGCTGCGCTCACCACTGTTTCACTATCAACGGTGAAACGTAGTGACATCAGAACAGAGGCCAGGCTAAAGGGATTTTACAGGCTACTGGATTAGATACTGTATACTATGTTATTTTGCTGGTGCGATATTAACAATCTATCATCATCAGCAGCCTATATATCACTTTACAGACATGACCTATTCTGCTTTTACCGGCAAGGGTACATGCTGCTTTAGCGAGCCAATGTACAATAATATAAACTGACACTGCAAACATGGGCTCCACTGAGGTTTAGCATTTTATAGTTACAAGTTGATCTGTAAATTCATATTTATATTGCTCCAGTATGTTTAAGTGGATACAGCGAGCACGGAGTCGAAATTCCAGTTTGAGCAACAAAAAAAAGTATTATTCAACGATAATATGAATAAAAACACGTTAGAAGCCTTTAGAAACCGCTAATAACAGTAACCATGGAGACACAAAGAACAGAGCTGCATTCTACCTCACATACATCATAGAACATATACAGGAAAATCCAGGTCTGTACAACGACAACAAAAAATGTTTAGGAAAAAATACTTAAAAGAAAATCATATTGAACATCATCACACAATCAGACAAGACATTTCACAGGTTTTTGAAATAACTGACATTCGGTGTACACATCTTCACATTTGTTTCAAGTCTAATATTGTATACACATTTTTTTGTAATATCCATCTTTTACATTTTAAAAGTTATCTTCTTGAGACTAAAACCTTTTCCACTGCAGTCAAATGTAGCTATGCAGTAGTTCCATCTCTAAATGAAAACATCAATAAAGGCTAGGCAGTTATTTTCTTCCCGTTTCAGTTCATAAAATGAGATGTTTGTATTAACAATATTCTATGTTTTCTATATAAACCATATCACATCTATGCTCATGTACTAACGTTAACAGCCACATTTGATGTTCTCACTTTTAAAGGTTAAAATCCACAATTACCCAGCAGGCAAAACGGGTTGAAATAATGTAATGATGACATCATTACAACCAGCTTTGCCCCATGGGTAATGTAGTCTTTTATTTAGCATTTGCTTCACAGGGTTCCCTTAAGGATTAGTGAGAGGATTGACCAATGGGAATAAACGTTCATAACATCTAACATCTGTCCATCTACAAACAGCAAATACTGTATCTTCAATGGGGAATTAAGAATACGTTTTGGAAATGTTCCATTGGTTCCATAATTCCCTTCTGCCCCTTACAGACAGAACTATTTTGGTTCACCTAGTCGAAATTCTTAACTGGATTATAGTAGTCATTTACTTATCTGGAATGTTCCATCCTATGCAAACCTTAACACTGTGCTTAAATTGGTTATTATTAAACATCTGTTAATTATTTCACTTATAGTCAACAGAATAACATGTTCGCTCGAAATGCACTCCCCATAACCTGAAATAATTTAACTCCTCTCTAATATGGCTAATGTTAATGACGGGGAGATGACGCCAACAGAACATCTGGTATTTCAACTGTAGACAGACTAACCTGTAGCTATCTAGCAACTAGGTAAGATCTAAAAACATAGAAATACAATAGAAGTCAATTTATGTAAAAAAAAAAAGGTAAAACAAGGTAGAGGCTATCACGCCTTTTTCCTGAGAATCTAAGTAATACAAAACAAAAATTCAACATGGACAAAATTGTGACAATCCTTTTTAAATATGATTAAAAACGATTTTTTTTCGGCATGTTGTCATGACAACAATACAGTGCTGCAAAAAAAATATTAACTGTTTCTCAAAAAACACGACAAAAGATCACAATCCTACTACACCAGGTTCCATGTGGCTCAGTTGGTAGAGAATGGCGCCTTGCAATGCCAGGGTTGTGGGTTCAAATTGCCATAGGGGACCAGTACAAAAATGTATGCTCACTACTGTAAATTGCTCTGGATAAGAGCGTCTGCTAAAACGTAAGAGATGTACTAGTTCGTGCTAAGCGTCTTCCATAAAATAAACACCCTTATAATGAGATCACTCACTGAAACCAATATATATATATTTTTTTTAAACATGGCAATGGCTCTAGTAAGACTGTGTTGTATTCTTCTATTCAAAGCTAATGAGCATTGCAGGGCAGTGCAAGGGGTTGTAGTGTCTGTCTGGCACACGGAAGCAGATAAATTCATATTGTGTGTACTATTGTTATTACTATGTGTAATAACTATGTGCACGGTTGGAGTGTTGGTCCACGTTAGGAGATAGGTGTTCCGAGTTCAGTCAAATTATTATTCCTACATTTAGGAAAACCTTTGAAGCAAAATCAAAACAGTATGACACATTTTCATTTATATCTTTTTTATTTTTATCTAAGAATCATCTGAATGGCACCGTAATTGTGAATTGTGGTTCTCATTTGATGATCATCCCTTTTCATCTGTCCAGTCTGTCCCTCACCTAGCCTGGGTGACTCCCTCACCTAGCCTGGGTGACTCCCTCACTTAGCCTGGGTGACTCCCTCACCTAGCCTGGGTGACTGCCTCACTTAGCCTGGGTGACTCCCTCACCTAGCCTGGGTGAGTCCCTCACCTAGCCTGGGTGACTCCCTCACCTAGCCTGGGTGATTCCCTCACCTAGCCTGGGTGTCTCCCTCACCTAGCCTGGGTGACTGCCTCACTTAGCCTGGGTGACTCCCTCACCTAGCCTGGGTGACTCCCTCACCTAGCCTGGGTGACTCCCTCACCTAGCCTGGGTGACTCCCTCACCTAGCCTGGGTGATTCCCTCACCTAGCCTGGGTCTCTCCCTCACCTAGCCTGGGTGTCTCCCTCACCTAGCCTGGGTGACTCTGTTCCTGCTCTCATGCCAACTGACAATTCCATAAGCAGTTGACTAGAGAGCAGACTCACCCCACCCCCACACTCCCCCCTGTCTCCCACCCTCACCTCCCCCCCTGTCTCCTACCCTCACCTCCACCCTGCCCTACATGCCCGGGTCGTCGTAGTTGTAGGTGGGTGCCTGTGAGTACTGGGGCTGTTGCTGCTGCTGCATGGCTCCCTGCGCCACCCCTACAGCGGCCTGCTGCGCTGCCTGCTGGATGTGAGGGTTCTTCCAGGCCCCGGTGGTCCACTCCTCCTGGGCTTTACTCATACTGCCCCCAGTGCCACAGTACATGTTGTGCACCTGGAGAGAGTCAGGGAGACGGTGTTAAGAGTGAGTTATGCTACTGCAGCTCATTCAGAGGACATAAGAAAGAGTCCTGTCTTTGCTCATGTTGTCCCTGGTGTTACGTTGTTCCACCTGAAGAGAGAGACAGATTGAGAGATGGTGTGAGAGAGAGATTTATAGAATACTGCTCCCGTACCACGGTACATGTTGTGCTTCCTGGAGAGAGTCAGGGAGCGATTGAGATGGTGTTAGAGAGATACAGTGCTGTGAAAAAGGTATTTGCCCCCTTTCTAATTTTCTCTACTTTTGCATATTTGTGATACTGAATGTTATCAGATCTTCAACCAAAACCTAATATTAGATAAAGGGAACATAAGTGAACAAATAACACAACAATTACATATTTATTTCATAAACAAAGTTATGCAACACCCAATGCCCCTGTGTGAAAAAGTAATTGCTCCCTTACACTCAATAACTGGTTGTGCCACCTTTAGCTGCAATGACTCCAACCAAATGCTTCCTGTAGTTGTTGATCAGTCTCTCACGTCGCTGTGGAGGAATTTTGGCCCACTCTTCCATGCAGAACTGCTTTAACTCAGTGACGTGTGGGTTTTCAAGCATGAACTGCTCGTTTCAAGTCCTGCCACAACATCTCATTTGGGATTAGGTCTGGACTTTGACTTGGCCATTCCAAAACTTCCAATTTGTTGCTTTTTAGCTATTTTCATGTAGACTTGATTGTGTGTTTTGGATCATTGTCTTGCTGCATGACCCAGCTGCGCTTCAGCTTCAGCTCACAGACGGATGGTCTGACATTCTCCTGTAGAATTCTCTGATACAGAGCAGAATTCATGGTTCCTTCTATTAAGGCAAGTCGTCCAGGTCCTGAGGCAGCAAAGCATCCCCAAACCATCACACCACCACCACCATGCTTGACCTTTGGTATGATGTTCTTACTGTGGAATGCAGTGTTTGGTTTTTGCCAGTTATAATGGGACCCATCTCGTCCAAAAAGTTGACTCAAGTTTGCCAAAAAGCACCTGGATGATCATCAAGACTCTTGGAAGAATGTTCTATGGACAGATGATTCAAAAGTATAACTTTTTGAACGACATGGTTCCAGTAAACCAAACTCTGCATCCACGCTCGCACCTGACAATAGGTACTCCTATATGCTTAATTTAGAGTTATTAATGTAACTTTAGTTGTTCTACAAACGTTGGGCTATATGTTTTGATTTTTAATACATTGTAAGGCTGCATGATGAGACTCAAATGTTGATTTGAAAAAAGTTGCTTGAAAGGCATGAGCTCTGCTTAGTTTTTTGCGTAGGCTGCAAACACTTCATCAGTCTCTCATTCACAATTTGACAAGCACTTGATAATGCCTAGAATTTCACAGCGGCATCCCCTTTGTGTGGCCATATCCATGCCTTTTGCGGCCAGTGGTGGTTGTGCACTTCTCCCTGAGTGCTGCGCGCTCCATCACGTGATCGGGTCTTTCTCACAGGCTACAAGTGAAGACAGACACATCAGGGACGCAACTGCGCGCGTCCTTATCCAATTCCGAGGTGCATATTGAAGATACTGGAAGAACTGTCCACATTTACTTTTCGTCAACCAACAAGATGAGTAGGCCTAACGAACAGCAAAGCACTAGCCTATTTCAATCTACTATCCCCCATAGTACAAAAGTTGACCTATTCTATTCTGTGCGAGAAATAAATATTCCAATCATAGTCTGGGACAGTTGTGGGATGCGATAGATCCCAAATTAATACAACCACTAGCATCAAAAAACCTGTTTTAAGCAATGAGCCTGACGCAACAGATGAGAACGTTTAGCTTAAAATGTTGATAAACTATTCGGCTATTTCTTCACATTATAAGCACAGCAATGCGCACATGGCAGTAGGCTATAAGCGCGACTGTTCCATTAGCGGGAAAACACTATCAAAAGTGACCGCAAATGCAATTATGCATGTAATGCTTTTATTATAAAGGTGCATTTTTATGGTGAAAATGATCTTCCCAAACTTGAAACTCACGCGCTGCTTATGTATGCCAGTTAGGCTCTAAACCCCTTGTAAAGCGGATGAATGTGCTTAATTTTAAGAAGTTATTTGGCCACTTTAGTTGTGAAACAAACCTTATCAAAACATATAGGCCTATGGGCTAGGCTACATGAGGTGTGCAACTACGATTCGAAAAAGTTGCAAAAAAAGGCAGTTTCTTATGCTGGGCATCATTCACAAGTGATAGGCTAATATTGTCACCCATCAGACTATTCTTGATTTAATCTTGTCTTTACATATACTAAATAATATACAGTACCAGTCAAAAGTTTGGACACACCTACTCATTCAAGGGTTTTTCTTTGTTTTTACTATTTTTTACATTGTAGAATAATAGTGAAGACATCAAAACTATTGTCGTATATGAAGATTATGACGTTGTTAATGTTTTAAGTGGAACCGGAGAGGACGTTTATTTTAGTATCAAGAGGGAATGTTTTAGTGTAACGCCACATACAACAGACAGGAAGTGTGTTGTAGACAGGGGATTGGACAGTAGAGGGAGCCACCCACATCTCGGGGAGATTATATATACTGGGGGAAAAACAAAGAAGAGGTTAGAGCGACCATTGCAATCTGGGACGTCGCTCTCCGGGTGTCATGACATCCGTCACTTATGCTGGAATCTTGTGATATGAATAAACTTATGATCAAAGGTTCAGTATGAGCGGACTCCTTTGTTTATCAGCAATAATTGCCAGCATTTACTCGATACGACACTATGTAATAACACATATTGAATAATGTAGCAACCCAAAAAGTGTTAAACAAATCAAAATATATTTTAGATTTTAGATTCTTCAAAGTAGCCACCCTTTTCCTTGTTGGCTGCTTTTCCTTCACTCTGCGGTCCAACTCATCCCAAACCATCTCAATTGGGTTGAGGTCGGGTGATTATGGAGGCCAGGTCATCTGATGCAGCACTCCATCACTCTCCTTCTTGGTAAAATAGCCCTTACACAGCCTGGAGGTGTGTTGGGTCATTGTCCTGTTGAAAAACAAATGATAGTCCCACTAAGCGCAAACCAGATGGGATGGCGTATCACTGCAGAATGCTGTGGTAGCCATGCTGGTTAAGTGTGCCTTTAATTCTAAATAAATCACAGACAGTGTCACCAGCAAAGCACCCCAACACCATCACACCTCCTCCTCCATACTTCATGGTGGGAACCACACATGCAGAGATCATCCGTTCACCTACTCTGCGTCTCAAAAGGCACAAAAACCTCAAATTTGGACTCAGCAGACCAAAGGACAGATTTCCACCGGTCTAATGTCCATTGCTCGTGTTTCTTGGCCCAAGCAAGTCTCTTCTTCTTATTGGTGTCCTTTAGTAGTGGTTTCTTCTGAGGCTGGTAACTCTAATGAACTCACCCTCTGCAGCAGAGTTTACTCTGGGTCTTCCTTTCCTGTGGCGGTCCTCATGAGAGCCAGTTTCATCATAGCGCTTGATGGTTTTTGATGCCAAGAGTGAGCAAAGCTGTCATAAAGGCAAAGGGTGGCTACTCTGAAGAATCTAAAATCTAAAATATATTTTGATTGGTTTAATACTTTTTTGGTAACTACATGATTCCATATGTGTTATTTCATATTTCATACAATGTAGAAAATTGTAAAAAATAAAGAAAAACCCTTGAATGAGTAGGTGTGTCCAAACTTTTGACTGGTACTGTATGTCTGAAATTTGTTTTGATTTAGAATGGACCATTATCATGCACCTGTATAGAAACAGGGGCAGTGGGAAAAAATACATGTCATCTATGCATTTACATTTGGAGGACGCTTTTCCCCGTGGTTTATTTTCATGCCAACCAGGTAGGCTATACTCCTGTTTTAAAGAGAAGCAATGTGCTTAATATTAGGAAGGTTGAGAAATAAATATAGTAGGCCTTGCCTATAGAAAGCTGATCCTCCTATTTTTAGTAGAGGCCATCACTCTGTTTTCTCGCGCAATTGCATAGCCTGTTGAAATGTTGCGCAACATGAGCTCATGGACTCTCATGAAGTGTTTGATTAGATTTTTGATTACATTAGCATTGAAGTCAGAGTGATTAGGTACAATAGAGTGCTGAGTACCAGGCAGTTAGCAAGTTTGGTAGGCTACTAATGACCATCAGCAGCATCAGACCTCGGAGAAGCCTAATAACCGTGACTAAACGGTAACGTGCAATTTGACTGCCTTCATGACTCGTGACTGCCGGTGTGGCTGTAACACGGTCACCGTAACAGCCCTAGTACTAGACAGTGCCGAAGTGGAAGTGTATGTAGCACACAAAGACGCACACAAACACACACACACACAAACACAAACACACACAAATTGTCAATGTATATAGTACTATGGTACCTTGGTGAGCCCGATGAAGGAGAGGACAGCCATGGCAGTGAACATGATGGTGGGGATCAGCATGACTACAGCAGAGCCTATATTGGTGCTAAAGAAGGTGATGGTCGCCAGCCAGCCGCTGGAGGAAGGAAGAAGAAGAAAACCAAAACAAGTTGACAGGAAGTCGACGCCTGTTCTAAGGCGGGGTTTCATAATGATAACAACGCCGTCAACTGTAAGGCTATGGCCGAAAATCTGGTCAATCAATCAATCAATCAAATTGAATAGCCCTTTTTTACATCAACAGTTGTCACAAAGTGTTTTACAGTAACCCGGCCTAGAACCCCAAAGAGCAAGGAGAAGTGGCAAGGCAACTATGGAAGAACCCTTCCCTAGAAGGAAGAAACTTTGAGCGGATCCAGACTCAGAGGGGAGACCCAGGCTCCATCCTTACCAGACCCCCCAGCCTGGGATCCCTATACACTGGATGATGCTGATAACCACCTGGGCCATGAACACGAAGAAGAACGCCATGAAGTTGAACGAGCTGTCAGTCCTACAGGGGGGGGAGAGAAGTAAATCTAGTCAGAAATCCAGGATTGAACCTACTTCGTGGAGGCTGCTGAGGGGAGAGCGGCTCATAATAATGGCCGGAACGGAGCAAATGGAATGGTATCAACCACCTGGAAACAAGTGTTTGATGTATTTGATACCATTCAACTGATTCCGCTCCAGTCATTACCACAAGCCCGTTCTCCCCAATTAAGGTGCCACCAACCTCCTGTGACTACTGTATATCTGGGGGGAAATAGCCTGAAGAAAGTGTTTACTGTAACTTGACTCACGTCTCTCTGCCTCATGCATATAAATCTAATGTAACAAACGGTGTTCAACGTTTAATTCAACAGAAACGGTACTGTGCTGAACGACCAAACGTTGGCAAATGTTAAACCGTACTGAATGCACCCCAGGTGGCAGAAGAAGGATGTACTTACTTTAAGGCCTTGTAGATGGGTCTGAACCAGCACACGTAGGAGCAGGGGGTGAACAGGATGAGCCACAGAATGGCCATGCCAAAGTTAGTTGCTCCGCCCCTGCCGCACATCCACGCCAGGCAGCCAATCAGATTGACCGCCAAGGTGGCACTGTTCACTGTAATGATCACAGATGGAAAAAAGGTCAAATAACTATATTAATGGTGGACCTTGCATTATTTGGAATGCAGTAGCATTGGTCGTGTTTTTTAAATGTAATTTATTTAACCAGGCAGGTCAATTAAAAACAAATTAATATTTACAATGACGCCTGGTGTTCATTAGGGCATGCAACGGAAATGGAAAATGAGTGTGTCTTATTGGACAAGTCACGAGTGGCACAGCGGTCTAAGGCACTGCATCTCAGTGCTTGAGGCTTCACTACAGACCCCCTGGTTTGATTCCAGGCTGTATCACAACCGGCCGTGATTGGGAGTCCCATAGGGCGGCGCACAATTGGCCCAGCGCTGTCCGGGTTTGGCTGGGGTAGACCGTCATTGTAAATAAGAATTTGTTCTTAACTGACTTGCCTAGTTAAATAAAATAAAACATGTAAAAAGGTAGTTTCAGTCTGTTTTCATCAGTTTGGTGCCTAACAAACAGGATCATTGTGTTACTTTTTTCCCCATTTCATGTCAGTACAATTACATTGTCTGGGACGGGGACCTTATCTAATTACAGTACAACAGCACAGTCTGTTATTGGATGATTCATCTAGCAAAGTAAAGTTTAATTGGTTGCTTCAGATTTGTATGAGAGTCTGCAGAGGCAGTAAAAGTAGCTTTATGATTTAGCATCTGAGGTATAGGGAAGAGATCACTACAACCAAGTTATGTTCCGCGTCCCAAATACAAATACTACACTATAAAGAGTATAGGGTACGTGTGATTGCTATGGCATGTGTATGTTCTGTATTGCTATCTATTCATCACTCATTACAGTGACTACTAGGCTAAGAGGCACAAACTAATGATTACCTATTGGGATTATTTATAACATATATTTCACAGGACTTACTTTTACAATCCCCAACCTGAGTGATAATGCAAAATAAATGCAAATGAGAATGAAAGTTATGCAATCATCCATGTATAAAGTTAAACCATTGAACTATTAGCTACACTTTCATCTCTTGTTGTCAAGCCAACGGTATAGAGATGGGAGGCTATTAACTAGCGGAATGTTGATTGTGATGAAAAAAACATGTCAAGTAACAATTCTTGGCTGGATGCCTGAAAGTCTTATTAAAGAGCTGCAAACCAGCTACACTAACCGTCCTGCTATACCTGTGTTTGTTTCCCATATTGTTTTGTGAGACGTTAAAAAGTAATCTGAAAAGAGAGGGCCAAACAGTAGTAAAGGACTTTGTTAAATGGGCCGGTGCTGCCCGGTACGGCACCTGCATCTCTAATCTTCTACTGCTTGAGTACCGCCAACTCTCGTAGAATATTAGCTCTAATACTTGATGACTAGACCCAGATGAAGCTAAGTTCTGGACTAAAAAAGCATTCTCAATGGAAAATGGTGTATAAAGGCTTGCTTAATCTGCGTCTGGAAAACCGACACAGATGACTCAGTCTCTAACCACAGGGTGTCTTCCAAATGGCACCCTATTCCCTATGTAGTGCACTACTTTTGACCAGAATCCTATGGGCCCTGGTCAAAAGTAGTGCACTAAATAGGGAATAGGGTGCCATTTGGGATGCAACACACACTCACAGATCCATAGGTAGTAGAGCTTCTTGCACATGGAGCGGTGTACATCTGGGATCTCGTTGAAGTCCTGATAGAAACATGGCTTCAGACGGATGAAGCCAGGCAGGGGAGGGAAATTGTTTTCTGTGGGGATGAAATGAAGAGGCTTTATAACATTGATGCTCAGCATTTAACTTACTTAGAAGTCAAATCTTGAATTACAACTAAATCCAAGATAAAATATTATAGTTCCCACAGGGGGCCAGTATGAAAAAATTATAATAATAATCATGTATGCACTCACTAACTGTAAGTCGCTCTGGATAAGAGCGAAATGACTCAAATGTAAATGTAATAGTTAAAGTATAAGCTAAGCATTCAACATGATCAACACACAATTTATATGGGGGATTGGAAATGATGCAGACAATTACACAGATAGAAGCCACAATATATCTGCAATATTAAAGCTGATCTACCCCACCCCACACACACACACACACACACACAAAACAACAACAACAACAATACAATAATAATAATAATATCTGATTAAAAAACATATTTTCTGGATATCCTGTCAATTTCCTCCTTGTAGATGTTTGGTAGTTGCTCTTTCAGTTCATTGACACATTTCGTCACATGCTTCAATGTGATAATGATGCTGGGTATGGCCTCAGATCCAGGAGGAACACAGAGAGACTGGAAACTATGTTATTGAGAAAGGCAAAGGTTATTTGATTTCAAGCACATTTCACTGGGAAAGAGGTCTAGAGATAGTCATTGAACAGTGTTATAGTGTGGACACTATATAAACAATTCCTACTGAATAGGTTTTGTACTTAACTGCAGTATAGTATTATTACCTTACATTGGAGCATGGTTATTATGGACATTGATGTTGACCGTGACCTTTACCCTCCTGTGATGTCATCATCCTAGAGTTGGCACGGCATTAACGGGACACTACCTCATGTTGAATTGAAAGGCGTGTGGATAATCCTTGTAAAGTTACTACAATCAACATCAATGATCAGCTAATAGCTCACCCTCTTGTCAAATGTTTCCTCCAGATGTATTTTGTTTGTTATGAATTTCCAGATATGAATTATGAATGTATTTTTCTTAAGGGGGGTTGCCCTATTTTCATTTTGAGCACATGCTTCTGAAAGGTCTGTGCACGGCCCTGGATACACTGCTGATAGGTACAGCAGAAAACCTCCAACGGTTTGTCATGATGAGAACAGATCTTCTCCTGTAGTTGTGCGGTGGCTTTGACCAGCTTGTGCTTCTTGAAAGCAGGAGATTCATAGTGAGGTTGGAGGTGAGTCTCACAGTAAGAGGCCAGACACACCAGACAGGACATGAGGGCTTTCTGCTTTCTGGTCCCAGTGCAGAAATCACACGCCACATCTCCAGGTCCAGCATAGCACAGAGCAGGAGGGGGAGCAGCCTGGAGTCCTGTCTTCTTCAGTTTCTCCACCACTTCAGCCAACACAGTGCTCCTGTTCAGATTAGGCCTTGGGGTAAAGGTCTGTCTGCGCTGGGGACAGCTGTAGACACCTTTCAGATCATCCTGATCCCAGCTTTCTTTAATACAGCTCATACAGTAGCTGTGTCCACAGGCAGTAGTCACCGGATCCTTCAGTGGATCCAGACAGATGGAGCAACAGAACAGTTCCTGATTCTCTGCCATTTTGGTGCTCTCTCCCGTAGGTTAAGCAATGGCAGTGTCAAAGATTACTTTCTGTTTCATGGAACTCTACACCAGAGGACAGGGAGGGGCTTCCTACTTGACTGTGTACTCTGTATGTAGAGGGGGTGTGGTTTCTTTGATAAGGAAGTGTGACTGAGTGTTGGGTAGTAGGCAGAAATAATTAGTATTTATGTTACATGTATTTGAAATACATATTTTAATTACTTCTGAGTATTTAGTCATTTGAATTATGCTGGGCTGAACTACACTCCAATGTATTTTCAAAAAACTAAATACTTTTCTATACCATTTTTTATAGCGGTTCACCTCTTGTGGCCCCTGCTTTCACCCTGCATTAGTATCAGAAGTCTAATAGCACTATGGTGTGATAAGAGCTTCTGCTAAATGAACTAAATATACATGAAAAAAAGAACACTTGAAAAGCATGCTGGGTATTAAAATAATGAGCTCTGCACCTGAAAGAAGGCCAATAATAATACCCAGTGTGCTTTGCAATTGTTCATTTTTACATTTACATTTTAGTCATTTAGCAGAGACTCATATCCAGAGAGACTTACCATCAGTACATTCAACTAATTTAGATGAACAATCTCATATCACAGTATATCCAGAGACTTACCATCAGTACATACAACTAAGGTAGATGAACAATCTCATATCACAGTCATAGAAAGTTAAAAGCTGTTTTCTTCCGTCACTGAGAATGTTGTTGTAGTGAAGGTGTGTACTAGCAAATGTATTTACCTGTATGTATTAGTATTTTATCTACATACAACTACAAAAGTATTTTGTATTTTAGTTTGATACATTAGTCTTTAGAGTATCTTGTATTTTTAACAAGATCCATTTTTGATGTACAGTATATTTTGCCCATCTCTGTATTGATATATAGTCTCTCAGTGACTAGCTGATTTGGTTATGGCTACCTAGATTCATGTGGAGATCACAGGTCCTGCATTTAATTCCAAAAAGTTTCCCCTCAACCCTGTTTGATATGTTGTCCTCTCAGGTTCTACTGGCTGGTGAACCTGAAGTGGACGGTAGTGTTTCTGGGTATCACCTACATCCAGCAGTCAGTAGCCAACAACCTGGCTAGTGACTGTATGGTCCAAAACAACCTCATCTTCAGCTCCAAGAAAGGTAACACAACCTCAACCTCATCTTCAGCTCCAAGAAAGGTAACACATCCTCAACCTCATCTTCAGGTCCGCATCAAGGAGAACAACGGGGGGCGCTACAGTGAGACGCACATGGAGAACGTCAAGGTCCTGGCCAGGCTCTTCCCCCTGTACCTCTTGCAGATACTGTACCGAGCCTGCATCACTCAGGCAGGTCAATGTAATGGAGAACATCAGGGCTCTACACTGACATGCTTCAAAGGAGATAAAACAGGCAAATCTATCATGTTTATTTATGCTCCATGAAGTTGTCCTAGAATATGTTGTTACCCTGACCTCTCCCACAGATTCCATCAGGTTACTACATTCAGACCATGAACTCTAACCTGCACCTGAACTGCTTCCTCCTGCCCATCGGTGCCATGAACGTCATCAGCATCCTACCTCTGCTGCTGCTGGCCCCTCTCATGGAGTGTGTCACCTCCTGCTACCTGTCCATGGAGAAAACACCCTTCTCCCCCGTCAGAGTCATCAGTAAGCACACACACACACACACACACACACACACACACACACACACACACACAGACAGACACACACACTCACACACACAGACACACACACACACACTCACACACAGACACACATGCACAAATACCATCCTCATCAATGAGCCAGTCAATGTTAATGCCTCTCTCTCTCCCTCTCTCTCTGTTTCTCTCCCTGTCCCCTCCCTCCTCTCCTCTCTCAGTGCTGGGTCATGCGTGTGCGGCCCAGTCTGTCCTGGTAGCGGGCCTGTCTGAGGTCCACAGGAAGGGCTATCCTCTGACGGAGCAGGCCCTGTCAGGGAAGGTGCTCCAGGTGTCCTCCATGGCCTGCTTCCAGCTGGCTCCCCAGTACATCCTACTGGGGCTGGCTGAGGCCCTCGTCACCCCTGCCTGTGAGTGACAGAGAGCCTATTGCTGCTACATTGTTCGTACACAGAGACAAACTGGGTTTGAGATTTACAATGTCAATGGACACCATATGTAGTTGAGATGAAGTTAGAATATGGAGTGTTGGAACCAACTGCCAACATGGAGGACAGTATTCTGAACTCTGGAAGCTAGGGTTAGGATGCCCCCTACTGGTGTATTAGAGACAGACAAGAGACGTTTGAACCAAATGAATGCTTCTTTCTCTTCCCAGTCTTCCTCTCTTCTCTGTTCCAGGCTCTGTGATCTCCTTCCACCTGACACCCAGTCATATCAGAGGCATCTCCCTGCACTTCCTCCCCCTGTGGATATACTGCTACATAGATGACTGGAAATAGCTGATTCATTGTGTCAATCAATTCAATAACAGAGCAATTCCAATGTCATGATTTTGACTTCTATATTGAAAGATCACATTGATTCAGTAATTGATTCAGAATACAGAATTGTTTGGATTCATACATGGACATGGGGGATTTAAATATTCTCATCTGATCATAAATGGATCAACAATGATCCCAGTTTCTGATTTGACTGGTTTGCCAGTACTACAGTTTACATCAAGAGAAAAAGAGACACATTTACAGAGGATTGCAACAGCCAAGAGGTGATCAGGTAGACAGTAAAAGTCTGAAGCCTGAGTGTCAGTCTGTATGTGCTATCAGGCCATCTGTTTTGCAAGAGCACTAACAGATCTGGGACCAGGCTACAAAGAATGTGCTATGTCTAAAGATGTATTTTCTTACAATAACGTTAAAAAAGGGGAATTGAACCAGATCATAGCCCTTTTGGAAGACTGTTACAGTTTTTTACAATTACTTTGGCACTAATTTCAGAACCTTGACGTCATTTTTCAAAACTCTAGACACAAAACTCAAAACGGTCATCACTTGTAACACAGGCTGTCCAATGTTCAAAACATTGCATTGTGCATTCATATATTTAAAAAACTCTTGCACTTGCACAATCATTGGTTCAAAAAACAAATGTATTGTGAAATACCAATGAAACGTTAATTTAGATCACCCACACACAAGCAACCGATAGTTTCACTGTGTCATTGTACGAACAATCATTAAATATTGTAGTACAAAATAGGTGATACATGTTTAATTATGGTACTACATGTAAATACATCTCTGTAAAAGTACTGCAGTAGTAGAGAGAATACTACAGACACAGTGGAGTCATTGAACAAAATCTGAAATATATTGATGAAAAACAATACAGTACTGTAAAACATCAAATGCAGTGTTCCTCAACTTGCTTGCTTGTACTGTAAAAAGCAAAACATAGGAGTGATTACTGTACTTCTACATTTTCATCAACTCTGTCTTGTGGATTTGGCCACAGGTTCTCATCTACATCACAATGGATGTTTTCATTAGCCAAACATCTTGGAAAAAACCTTCGGGCATGGCGAATCCAGGCCTGACACTGGTCTGCCGTGACGTCATTGCATGCGTCATCCATGGCCTGGAGAAGAGTGACTTGTTCATGAGGGCGCCTATCATAAACCTTCCATCTCCATGTGGAGAGAAATTCCTCAATCGGTTTAAGGAAAGGAGAGTATGGGGGTAAATACAGGGTGGTAAATTGTGCATGGGCCTGAAACCATGCTTGCACCATATGAGCATGGTGGAACCTGACATTATCCCACACAATGACATAGGTCACGCCACCAGCTCTACAGGCCTGATCGAGCTCATCAAGGAAGGTTACAAGGAGAGCTTCATTATATGATCCAATACGAGGTCTGCGTCCCACCACACCATCTTCTGATATAGCCGCACACATGGTAACGTTGGCCCCACGTTGTCCAGGTACTTGGGATGGTTGCCCGCTGGCCAATGAAATTCCGACCTCTTCTCCTTGTCTTGGCCAGGTTAAAGCCTGCCTCATCCAAATATATGAATTTGTGATGGTTGTCATCAGCATCCAGCTCCATCACCCTCTAAAAATACATTTTGGAAAGAGATTTACTGATTACTGTACAATGTAGAATTATTAGGGAATTTTATTACAACAGCCATCTTGAAACTGAACATACCTGAACATACTCAGTACTCATTTGCTTCACTCTGTCTGCATTTCTTTCAAAAGGCACACGGTATAGTTGTTTTAAAGACACCTGGTGCCTTTTCAGCATGCGTGCAATGGTCGGCAAACTTATGGATTCCACATTGTTAAACATATCTTCATTGTCTAAGATATGCTGGCGATTTTCTGTAAGGCGAATATCATTTCTGGCCCGAACCAAATCGACCACAGCCTGCTCTTGCTGGTCAGTCAGAATTTTGCCTCTGCCTCCCCTATTTGGCCTAGTCTCAATTCTACAGGGAACATTACAGTAAGACGACACTTGGTCACATCACCTACTCTGTGATACACATTGGTATGCAGTCATTTGACAATTGAGAGTAGCATAATGTTTAGTGTATGCTGACGACTTACCAGTTCTCATTGCGGAAAGTTCTGATTATTGAGGCCACGGTTGACCTTCTGAGGTTTGGTTGTATCATTGTAGCCGCCTCAGTCATTGTCATGCCATGATTTATGACATGGTCTACAACTATTGCTCGGATTTCATTGGACACTCTTTGCTGTTGCTGCCGCTGTCTTGGTCCGTGGCCTTGTCCTCTACCACGTTCCCCCACACCTCTCAAACGAGGCCCACGAACACCTCTCAGAAGTGGTGCTTGTCCCCTGCCATTCCTTTGACCAACACGTCTTCCTCCCACCACTGCTTGACCTTTATTGTGACCTGGATCAAATCAAATCAAATCAAATTGTATTGGTCACATGCGCCGAATACAACAGGTGCAGACATTACAGTGAAATGCTTACTTACAGCCCTTAACCAACAGTGCATTTATTTTAAACAAAAAAGTAAGAATAAAACAACAACAAAAAAAGTGTTGAGAAAAAAAGAGCAGAAGTAAAATAAAGTGACAGTAGGGAGGCTATATATACAGGGGGGGTACCGTTGCAGAGTCAATGTGCGGGGGCACCGGCTAGTTGAGGTAGTTGAGGTAATATGTACATGTGGGTAGAGTTAAAGTGACTATTCATAAATACTTAACAGAGTAGCAGCAGCGTAAAAAGGATGGGGTGGGGGGGGCAGTGCAAATAGTCCGGGTAGCCATGATTAGCTGTTCAGGAGTCTTATGGCTTGGGGGTAGAAGCTGTTGAGAAGTCTTTTGGACCTAGACTTGGCACTCCGGTACCGCTTGCCGTGCGGTAGCAGAGAGAACAGTCTATGACTAGGGTGGCTGGAGTCTTTGACAATTTTGAGGGCCTTCCTCTGACACCGCCTGGTATAGAGGTCCTGGATGGCAGGAAGCTTTGCCCCAGTGATGTACTGGGCCGTACGCACTACCCTCTGTAGTGCCTTGCGGTCGGAGGCCAAGCAGTTGCCATACCAGGCGGTGATGCAACCAGTCAGGATGCTCTCGATGGTGCAGCTGTAGAATTTTTTGAGGATCTGAGGACCCATGCCAAATCTTTTTAGTCTCCTGAGGGGGAATAGGCTTTGTTGTGCCCTCTTCACGACTGTCTTGGTGTGTTTGGACCATGATAGTTCGTTGGTGATGTGGACACCAAGGAACTTGAAGCTCTCAACCTGTTCCACTACAGCCCTGTCGATGAGAATGGGGGCGTGCTCAGTCCTCTTTTTTTTCCTGTAGTCCACAATCATCTCCTTTGTCTTGGTCACGTTGAGGGAGAGGTTGTTGTCCTGGCACCACACGGCCAGATCTCTGACCTCCTCCCTATAGGCTGTCTCATCGTTGTCGGTGATCAGGCCTACCACTGTTGTGTTGTCGGCAAACTTAATGATGGTGTTGGAGTCGTGCCTGGCCATGCAGTCATGGGTGAACAGAGAGTACAGGAGGGGACTGAGCACGCACCCCTGAGGGGCCCCCGTGTTGAGGATCAGTGTGGCAGATGTGTTGTTACCTACCCTTACCACCTGGGGGCGGCCCGTCAGGAAGTCCAGGATCCAGTTGCAGAGGGAGTCCAGGATCACCTGCCGGCTCCATGTTACAGTACGTATCGCTATGTTGTTGCAAGTGGATCCCAATCAATTCTTTATATACTCGTTCCACAAAGTGAACTCAATCATCAGTAACGAGTTGGCAGAATTGGATAAGCAATTACAAGGGCCTGCATCCATACAGTGTAGTACTGTCAATACGGTAAATAGTCTGAAAAGGTGGTACATGGGACCATAGAAACGGTGTCTGATAAAGAATGATGATTAAATATTACATCCATAGATAATGTAGTCTAATTGGTTCATGCTCCACACTAATTGGTGACAATGAATCTCGTTATCTTGAAACTTTCATGATCTAAACATGGAATATTGTTTGTCTGTTTCCATACAACTATGCATTAAGAGTAATGCAACAGTTACTTATCATTTTGAGCAGTTGTATCAATTGATAGTTGGATAATTGTATTGAAATGAATAGACACTCATCTGAAATGTAATGTTTGAATTGCCTTTTGAAATAGTAGTACTTTGATGTTAAGTTGTGTCATATTGAACAGGTGATTTTTGTTAAATGAACAAATGATCTTAGTTTTATGTGTCTTTTTTCCAAGCAATTGAAAAAAGTGCATTTTGATCATTGGTTGTGAGTTTTGTGTCTAGAGTTTTGAAAAATGACGTCAAGGTTCTGAAATTAGTGCCAAAGTGATTGTAAAAAACTGTAATATTCGAATGAGGCAACCACTAACATTACAGTATGATATTCTAATATTGGAATGAGGTAATCACTAACATTCCAGTATGATATTCTAATATTCTAATGCCAGTGAGCAAATCTCCAATCTATGTAGTGCACTACTTTAGATCTGGTCAGAAGTAGCCTAGTGCACTACGTAGGGAACAGGGTGTCATTTGGGCCAGAGTCAGTAACTCCCCTGGGTATGAATTCTCTCTCTATCTTATCTGTCTTCTATATTATGTTCTCCTCTCTTCTCTCCTCTATTCACTCTATTCTATCATCCACACCACATGCCAGCTTCAACACAATCCATTTACAAGTTAAAGACACACCTTGGAATAAATAGCAAAGGAAAACTACTACTAGATGTATTTTTTATTTCCCTTCAACATAAATCATATTTAATAACTGAACAGTAGCAGACCTAACTTCATCTGTTCCTGACTCTGGATAGTGGATTAAAAAGACCATCAATCTCCAATGATATTAAAGTACAATTCTGAACATTACTGATATACTGAGTGACAAGTCAAGATATCTGCTGTTTTTATTGTTTGGTTAATAGCACCACCTGCTGGACAGGTTTAATGTTGCTTGACTGAGCA